ATTGGTTTCTTTTTAATGTCTTAGTCCTCTGCAATGCTGTGTGGTTGCTTTGTTTTGTTTTTTCATATTAAATGCTCCCTTGCATGGTGGTCTTTGTCCATGGTTAAGAATGTGGTTCTACTGAGTTGTTTGGAAGTTTTAAGGGTGGGTCTGGTTGTTTGCTTTTTCCTGTCGGCTGCTCCTCTGGCCAGCCTATTTTATCAGGAGGCAATACCTTTGTTCAGTCAGATACCTTGTTTTTCAATTGTCTGCCTTCTGCCAGGAAGATTAGATTGCCAGTGCCTGAAAGCACTGAAGGAGAAGGCTGGTGGATGGTCTACTTCCACTTCTGAAACTTCCCTTCCCCCTCCTCCCAGCACAGCAGCCTCACTAGGCTGTGCGGAGCTACACACAGGCAGTGGTGAGCAGGTCTAAAGGTTTGAGGCTGTAATAGTCTTCCAACTGGTCCTTCAATTGTAAATTTAAAATTATCTTTAACTGATAAAAATTGTAGTGTTTGTGGGTACTATGGAATGTAGTCCTCCATTTTTAGGCCCATCTTGGACCCCCTTTCCAGAAATTCCTCATGCCAATTCCAATGAGACAGAAGGGCCCACTGGAAACCTCCAGTGACCTTAAAGGGTGGAAAGAAGGAAAATCTGGCTGGACCAGAATAAGGACAGTGTGAGGATTAGGACATGACCAATCAAAACGCTGCAGGCATAGTCAACCAAAATGCTGCTTTTTGCATACCTAATTAGCATAGAGATTGAGCAACACCCTGGAGAAAATGGATAAAAACCTCAAACCACATCACTTCTCCGGCAACCCACTTGGGACCCCTCTACAGTCACTCTTTGTTGTCTGTGTTCATTCTTTGGTTTGTGAGACAAGAACCTGGAACACCAACCCTTCCTCTGGCTAAACACCTAAGTCAGCAAAGTTGAATGGAGGCTTTCAGTCCTACACAAATCTCCTACTTCACCAATGGAAAGCAAGTTGTTTTTCTCCTGTTGACCCAGGATCCAGCGTTCTTGGGGTTAAGAACCCCAAGATTTTTTTTTTAAGAAAAAAAAATCCTTCTGTCATTGTATTGGCAATTTTGGAGCAAGAGGACTTAAATGTATGTGTTTAATCTACTGAGCATAGTAATGAAAATGCTCAACTTTCTTAAAATTAAAAACTATTAGCCTGAAATCAAATGATTACAAGATTTTCTTAAGCCCTGGATCAAAAAGTACTGAAACATTATCTTATCTGAAGCTGTTGTGGCAAAGATTATTCTGTTTTATATAAGCAAATATAGAAAGGAGATGTTCACATATTTTTCCAAAGCAAATTGACATCATAGGAGCCAAATGAGAATTTATTACAAAGGTTAAAAATCAGGAGACATTGCATAAAAAAATCTTCAGCAGCTCATGAAAATTTGGAAATGGGGCCACATTGGGCCTGCGCTTCTGGTGGCGAAAATCATTTGCAGGTAAACATGGCTGTCCCTTTGCTGTGGAGCATGAACCCTTCAGGTGTATTTCAGCCTCTGGACAGCTGCTTCACTTTTTTTTTAAATAATTTTTTATTAGGATATTCATTATACAGGGGGGTTCACGTGACAATTCCAGCTACATTTACACTGCACATTAACACTGCCCCCATCGTCTCTCCTCCAGCCCCCTCCACACCTCACTTAAAGCAACTGCAAGAGGTTTCTTAGTTCTGTTTCATGTAGGTATATGAAGTCCATCTACCTATACCCTCATCTTAATCTTTCATTTACCCTCCCTTCACTTTTTTTGGTTGTTTTTTAAACAGGGAGACATTTGAATTTGAGACAGAAAAGAAACTATTTTATTTGGAAAGATGAAATATACATATGCAAAATTAAATCTGTAACACAAGCCACTTGTCTGAGTTCCACCAGATTCACCTTGAGCAGGTGAAATGGTTACTTCAGAGACTGGGAAGGTAAGAGGCAGAAATCTACAAAGAATATGCAATATTTTGTCTCCCTCAGAAGCTGCACATACTTGTGTAAACATTTGTTGATTTGTGAAATGAGCACAGCAGTGCTGGCAAATGTGCTGCGATGAAGGAAACGGAATCACTAAAATAGCAGAAAGGGTAATTTACCTGCCTTAGCTCATCAAGGTTGTATTTGATAAATTCCCACAGTGCCTCAGGTGAGGAGGGGATCAGGGATCTCTAAAGCACTGGTATCCGGGGCCGTTTGCTTCTTATATCCACAAAGCCCATCCACAGGTGTTTATATGCAGTGCTGGGGCCCAAACTCAGGGCCTTGTGCATGGTAGGCAAGCATTCCACCAAGTTACGCCCTTAGTCCTACCTAATTTAAATTTTTCTTTCATCTGTAGCTAAATTGAACAGATCATTAAATTCCAGTTTAACTTTAAGTTTGTTCCCAGGACCCTCTAAATAACAGCAGCTCATAAGCTCTAGGTTCAGTTTAGCCATGAGCTAGAGCATCATGGAGAGAATCTTTCTGAAACCTCAGTTTCTCCACTCTTGAGAAGGCACAGGATGCTAATTGCAGCTCTGCTAATCTGTACTTTCACCTGCTTCTTGCACTTGAAGACAAGTACTGGGTCTTCCTAGTTGAGCTGGAACATCCTGGGCCTGTCTTGGTTTTGTGGCATGCCCAGTGCTGTGGGAAGAGATGTCCTAACCAGTCTTCGAAAGCACATGCCTAGGTTTTGAAGGTGGAGTAAGTGCTTCTGCTGACTCGGGAAGGTCTCAACATCTCACAAGTTTCTTTTTCACTCTTGAGGGCTCATGAAGTATTTGCTAAGGGCCAGGCTGCATGCCTGCAATCCCAGCTACCTGGGAGGCAGAGATAGGAGGATAGAGGTCCGAGGGCCAGCCTGGGAAAAAGTGTGAGACCCTATCTGAAAAACAAACTAGAAGTTTAAGTTTAGCTGTGCATCCAGGCCATCCAACCTCCTGCAGGAGAAAGAGATCATTTCCTGACAGGCCATGTGCGTGCATGGGAGGTTCACTGATGGCACAAAGGTAGCAGAGCCTTGGAGGGTGAGCACAGCCATGGGAGCCGGGTCTTCATGTGTGCACTCATTCATTTGGTACCAAGGCGCTGTGTTTAAAAGCTCTGCAGACCACAAAGTTGGAATAGCCCCTGCCCTGAGGCTTCATAAAGTAGCTCTTATCAAGGGTTAAGCAGGGAGTCCACAAGCTACAGCCCCAGAGGGCCACCTGGTTTTATGAACAAAGTTGTTTTGGAACACTAGCCACACCCATTGTCTATGTCTTGTTCATGGCTGGCTTTTCACTTCAATAGGAGGGCTGAGTCATTCCAACAGAGGCCATATTACCTGCAAAGTCCCAAATCTTTACTACCTGGCCCCTTCACCAAAAAGTTTGCCATTTCTTGCTAGAGAAGAGATGACATATAACTGAGAAATCAGGTGGTCAGAAAACACAATTATTTGCATATTAAAATCTGAGAGAGAGAAAGAGAGAGAGAGGAGGGAGGAGAGAGAGACTGGCTGAAGGAACAAGAACAAACATGATGAATTATATGAGGCTTGATTACTTTGAAGGATTACATCACAATAAACTTGCTTCTTAAATTTGATGTATGCAAGGCAACTATATGCACTGGTTTACAACACACACAAGACACACAAAAGAGAGATCACAGTGTCAGTTTCTAAAGGGAAACCAACTGTGATGAGCTCATCCACGGAGACCATGGATGCTGTCAGTTTGGGTGGACCAAGGGATTTTTCATGAGCCATTTTGACTGTTTGATTTTTCCTTGAAGGGCACGCTCCAGACTTTGGAACCTGATGCTTACACAAATTCATGAGCCTGCAGAGCTCAACATGAAAGTTCTGAAGGACCTATTTGAATGCACACAAAGCCAGAGGCTGCTGTAGCATTTGTGGCTGATCAAAGCAGGCTGTTTTCTTGGCTATTTGAGTGACACCAACTGAAGCCATACTCATATTAAATCTGAACTCCTTTTAAAGAGAAAGCTCATTAAATAAAGACACTCATAGCCTGGCCCTGGGGAAACTGCTGGAACTGATGAGTGTTTACAGTTTTTGCCCTCTTATTCTTGAATAACTTAGATAAATCTCAAGGGGCTGCTGCTGAATACAGCCTGCTACAAATTACAGAAAAATTAGCCTGGCTTCAAGCAGAAATGCCAAGGCCAGGGTTGGGGAAGCAGATTCCACATAAGAACATATTTACATAGGAAAAGGTCAATGATGCTGTACAAGGGCACTTCAGTCACACTGTGGATGCTGCCACTGAGACGTAGCAGGTATGGCTGCTGGGAGGAAAGGCGCCCACATTCCAGTCACTGACCTTACAGATAAAAGCTTTGAGGCACACCCTCTTCCATACAGGCTGATTTAGGAGTTAGAGGTAGTAAATGTGTGCATACAAAATTCAAATCTGTTTTGTAAAGTCCACAGTAGAAAGCATGCTTACAAAACTGGAAGTTGGCTATATGCCAGAACATCAGGTAGGAGGAATTAAACTAAAGTAAGTGTACAGATCTTGCCCCCTGGAGCGGGTACTGAACAATTTCACATCCACTGAATAATGCCATGCACGCTTCCAAACACACTAAGTTGGGACAAAACACACCAATGAAAAAGTTAACGTGGGGCCACACTCCCCATCGTCATTCACGAAGCATAGGGCTCTGAGGACTGAGATCAGAATCCAGCCTGGAAGATTGGAGCAAAGCCCCAGTACTGTCCATCCAAAGTGGAAAAGCACTTACCTCATGACAAAAAAAAGAAATGAAAATTGAAACAGAACCTCAACACAATGCATTGGTTCATTAGGCTGCATTTTCAATCCCCACTCCCCCAAAATGCTATCCTACAGGACAGCTGTAGTCTCTGCTACTAGCAAAGACTTTTTTAAGAGTCAAAAAGTGAAGTACAAAAGTTGATTTACAGCACATTAAAAATACTTTTCCCCCCCTCCCAAACTAAATAAGTCGCCCCCCACCCTCACCCCCTCCCGCCCAAGTCCTTTTGCTTAGGACTAGGTGGCAGATTTTCCTGGCAAGTTATTCCTCCATCTGGGCCCAGGCCTCTTCTGCCTTCTCATAGTACTGGTTGGCTAGTCGGCCCTTCATGGCTTCCATCGCCGCCTCAGCTGCCTGGGTGTACAAGTCTCCTGAAAGACAGCAAAGAGGGGCACAAAGTGAGCCACCCATTGTCCTTGCCAGCCCAGCATTCTCCACCTCACCCAGAAACCCTGATGCTGCTATAGGGCCCAAACCACTTGTGATCTGAGCAGCTAGGAGTGGATACGTGATCAAACCTAGCCAATCAGAGCACTCCTCACTTCCCCAACCAGGCCAGAAGGGTTAGTCTACACTTAGGCATGGCTAATCAGCCACCTCAAAGATAGTGACTGGTTTAGGAGTGCGCAGATGATTCAATTGGTTAAGGAAAGCTCTGCCCTACCATCACCACCAAAAAAAGCACTGATACATGCTATAACACAGATGAATCTTGAAAACATTAGCCAAAGTGAAAGAAGCCAGACAGACACACAAGGCCACAGATTGTGTGATTCCATTTGTATAATAAGTACAGAACAGGCAAGTCCATAGAGGCAGGAAGTGGATCAGTGGTTTCCAGGAATGGAAGTGAGTGCTAACCAGAATAGTCTTTCTTTTAGGGGTGATGGAATGTTCTGGAATTAGATAGTGGTGATGGCTGCACAACATGTGAAAACTATGAAGATCCTCTACATTGAACACCTCAAGATGGAGAATTTTATATTGTGAAAATCTTAGCTCAATGTTTGAAATTGCAAAGAACCCTCCAAACCCTAACATATAGCTGTCTCTTGGAATGTGGAGGGGATTTGGTCCAGGACCCCCTTGGATACCAAAATCTGCAGATCTCATAAAATGGCCTAAGTACTTGCACGTAACCTTCGAATTCTCCCGTAGACTCTGAATCATCTCTACGTTACTTATAATACCTAACACAATGTAAATACTATGTAAATAGCTGTTGTATTGTATTGTTTAGGGAATAATGATAAGAAAAATGTCTCTATGTATTTAGGCACATATGCAATTTTTGTTTTTATTTTTTTTTGTTTTGTTTAGATATGGGGTCTTGCTATGTAGTCCAGGTTGGCTTGGAACTCAAGATGCTACTGTCTCAGCCTTCTAATCGCTGGGATTACAGCAATGTGCCGTGATGCCTGGCTTTACAGATCCAATTAAAAAAAAATATTTTCTGATCTATGGTTGGTTGAATCTGCAGATGCAGAACCTGCAGATACAGAATGCCAACTATGCAAAATGCTCATGTGCATACCAGCTTCATAAAGCCCCCTCTGGGGAAGAGACGGCTGGCCCCTTGTCATAATTCTCCGTGGGATGAGAATAACAGCCCTCGCTGTCTGCCCACCTGATTTTTGCGGGTCCTTCTTCAGCCCGCAGCCACCTGTGCACAGCATCTCGGCCTCCCTGGCCAGCAGCGCATACCGGGGCTCATCCTGCATCCCGTCGTACTCCCCGCCCTCATCGCAGTCAGTTGTCTCCAGGGCAGTGCTATACCAGTGCAGGGCCTCAGGCCAGTCTTGGCACCTTGCCAAAACACACAGAGGAAAAGAGGGATGTTACCATGGCAAAGGGCTGGACGGACCATCCAGCATACAGGCAAGTTAAGAATCCCATCAGGGCCACCACCTCTTGTTCACAGCCTACAGTACCTAGGATCACCACATCCAAAGAGCATCTTCATATTGTAGGTTTATGGACTTATTAAGAGAGCTGTCAAGAAACTTTCCTTAACAAATGGGTGTGTTGTGGGAATTTACTAAACAGGTAGCACTACAGCCATCTGTGAAGGGGACATTTTTCTAGGACTGCACTAAGCTAGCAGCAGCAGTAGCTGAGGGTCCTCGTTAAGCTGCCCTCTGAGCAGACAAGAGAAAGGCAAGGGAACCCTTTGTTTTTGTAGAGGCCGCTGGAACCATCTGAGCGAACAACAATCATTTTGCCCCCATGTACACTCTGCCTGTGCCGGCCAGCTTGGCTCTCCTGCACACGTGGAGACCACCCCTCCTCTAGCTGAGCTCCTCACCCCCTAGTTTTTCCTCCCACAGTGGCACACACCCTGACAAACTGCCAAGGGGATACAAGGGTCTCAGCCAGACTCGTGCAACATAAACTACAGGACTAACAGGGCAGCAGCTGCTTCTCTTTGAATATAAAGCCACGTGTCTAACTATTTCCAGTATATCACGAAAGAGCAGAGAGAGTTACAGGTGAGTCACAGGTAACACCATGGGTGTCCTGAAATGTCCAGGAACAGCAGCTCTAATGACCTGCTGTCCTGTCCTCATTGCCTTGGCTTCCTCTGCCCTCCAGTCTCCACTTTTCATCTCCCTTCATGCAGGCTTGCAATCCCCCTAACAAGCTAGCATTGGCTGCCCTTTGGCCTTTGCACCTGCTGTTCCTGGCCATGGGACATCCTTCCCCTAGCTCTGTGCACACCTAGCTGGCAACGGTCCAGTTTCAGTTCCCATGTCACCCTTCAGAGGTGCCATCTACAAAACCCAATTGACCACGGTCATCAATTCTTCTCACTCCCTCATTTACTACCATCTCCCTGACCAGAACATACACCCCAAGAAGGCAAGAGCTTTGCCTGCTGTGCTCGCTGCTGCATTCCCAGGCCTGGATAGCAGCACAGATGCAATGTCTGTTGAATGAACAAATGTAAACAATGGCTGGTTGTGCTGTGTTCAAGACCTAACCCTGACTCCATTTTATCTCATTAAAAAATGGAGTGGCTCAGGTGGTAGAGCATGTGAAGCTCTGAGTTTAAACCCCAATGCCACCAAAACAGAAAAAAAAAAAAAAAAAGAAAAATTGGAGTGCCAAACAAACCAGGATTGTACCACTGAACCAGAAGCCACTTTACCCCTTCAGCTCTGACCCTCCCCAGTATTAAAGGATAAAGAATAATTGCCCTGAAAACATTAAATGGGAAAGGGCCTCATCTCTCTGTGTCCCCCCTGGTCACCCCATGTCATCCCAGTGATAGGGTGCCCACATTGCCTGGGAATTTTCCATGACTTTTCGTTCTCCTATTACATGTAACTTCTGAGAGGGTCAAAACCTCTTCACTATGAATGTGGGCCTACACAGGGCCTGCCTTACTCACAGCTTGCCCTTAATTAGCACTCCCTGAATGGAAGAGGCTGGAGCTGCTTGACTGAGGAAGAACAAGAGAATGGCTGCAGCAGAAAGTATGAAAGAAAATTTTGATAGACTTAGTTATGTACATATTAAAAGCCATTGTGTTCCCAAACCCAATAAACAATAATCATTGTATAGCACCTGTCCACTCCCCAATCTATGGTAGCTATCGTTGAAAAAAAAGCTTAAAGAGAAATATATGTCAAAGGGTTGATAGCTCTAATAGATAAAGAGTCCTGATAAATTAATAAGAAACTGTCACCTCAAGTAAAATTAAAAGTAGAAATACAAATTTAAAAAATAGAGGACTGGGGGTGTGGCTCAAGTAGTAGAGTACTTGCCTAGCAAGCTCGAGGCCTTGAGTTCAATTCCCAGTACTACCCCAAAAAATAAAATAAAAAAAGTAGACAGGAAGAGAAAGCACAGATAGCGAAGACATTTCAAGGGCCCTATGATAGGTAAATATTTGATGCTCATCTACAGCTCCCCCACCCCATGTCACACCTCTCCACTGCACTCAGTAGGCACCATATACACTGGCGTTTGAGCTCACACGATCATGCCAGGCCTTTTGTGTTTGCTTCCCTCCATGCCAGCTTAGTTCCAAGTCAGTAGACAGCATGCTGACAGAGGAGAGAAAAGACCTAAGTTCTGGCTCTGCCACTTATAGGTAAAGGTCAAACATCCTAATCTAAAAATCCAAAATCCAAAAGGCTCCACAATCTAAAGGTTTTTTTGGGGGGTGGGGATTGAGGGGAGGTGCTAGAGTTTGAACTCAGGTCCTTGTGCTTGCTAGGCAGGTGCTCAACCAGTTGAGCCACAGCCCCAGCCCTTTGTGCTCTGGTTGGTTTGATTTATACCCAGGCTAGCCTGGACCACAGTCCTCCCATTTGCACTTCTTACACAACAGGAATGAGAGATGCACACCACCTCACTCAGCCTTTTTAAAAGTTGAGATGGTGTCTCATGAACTTTTTGCTTAGGCTGGCCTTAATTTCAATCCTCAATATCTCTGCCTCCTGAGTAGCTAAGATTACAGACGTGAGCCACCACACCCGAGCAGAATCTGAAGTTTTTGGAGTGCCAGCATGATGCAATAAGTGATCCCCTGATCTCATGAGGATGAGTTGTAATCATATTGCAGGTGCCCTAAAAATATTGTATAAGATTACCTTTAGGCTATGTGTATAAAGCATAGATGAAACAAATGAATTTCAAATTTCGACTTGGGTCAGCAGGCATCTCATTATGTATACACTAATATTCTGAAATCTGAAAAAATCCAAAATCCAAAACACTTCTGGGGCTGGGATGTAGCTCGGTGGTACAGCGCTTGCCTAGCATGCGTGAGGCCCTGGGTTTGATCCCAGCACCAAAAAAGAAAAGACAAAAAAAAAAACAAACCTCTCCCCAAAACACTTCTGGTGCCAAGCATTTCAGATAAGGGATACTCAACCTTTATTGGACCAAAGGCAAGTCACTTCACATCTCAGAACTATAGTTCTGAGACACAGTCAAAAATACCTGCCTTGTCTGTGTCATCAAGATGTGTTAGTTCATTCATTCAAACTAGCCTTGAGCTGGGCCCTGTGCTACACACCAGGACACAGAGGTATAGGAGACCAGATGCCTATTCTCTGTGAAATCAAAGCCCACGAAGAAAAGTGCTGTCCAATTGGACTGCTATTATGAGTAGGTGTCTGATAAATGATGGACTGTGTAATATGTAATACAGGTAGGATGTCACGTATCTACAAGTTTTTGACACTGAGAACCTGATATGATACAGCCACAGACCTGACTTTCCTTCTGAATGCAATGAGAGAAATGAGCTTTCGACATAAAAAAAAAGGGACTTACTAAGCCGTCCCAACCCAACCTGGAGATTTAAGACAATGAATGTCCCTTCCTCACTCCCTTCCAGAAGTCGCAGAGACTCCAGAATAGCCAAGTTCCAATGGGAACCACGGAGGGTGACCTCCCATTATGAGTTAGATTCCACAGCCAACCTCTGCCCTTGGACTTCCAGAATCTCCCACTGGTAAGCTAAGGAGCGGAGATGAAGCTGGGCCTCCTCCATAACTCCCACTGCAGAAACTAGCCATGAAAGACAAATGAAAAGTATTGACACCTGCATTGCCAGAGCCTTGAGGAGCCTCACTTGGGAAAACTCACCCTGAAAAGCCTGCCTCTTTCCTTTCCCTGCCTTTTTTCTTTCTGTAGTACTAGGGTTTGAACTCAAGACCTTGAATTCTGCCACATGAGCCATGCCTTTTGAGATAGGGTCTGGTCTGGACTGTGATCCTCCTATTACACACTTCCTATGTAGCTGGGATAACAGGCGCATACCACCATACACAGCTTTTATTGGTTGGGATGGGGTCTCACTAACTTCTTGCCTGAATTGGTCTCGAATGGTGATCTTCCCTATCTCTGCCTCCCAAGTAGCCAGGATTACAGGCTTGATCCACTGCACCTGGTCTTCTTTCCCTGCCTCTTAGAAGTGAAAGATACATATAAAAACAAAAGTAGGAAAAGTCTAGTAAAATCACCCCTAATCCTACTATCTAGTAGCAATTACTCTGAACCTGGGGCTGAATAACCTTTCAGATTTTTTTCTTAGCAAATCTTTACCTATGCTGGCTAAAATGGCTGCCATCTATTACATGATTTAAGGGCCAGACACTGTAAGAATTACAGGCATGATCTCATTTAACTTTCACGTGACAATCTTCAGAGACAGGTATTATGATTATTCCCAATTCACAAAATGAAGAAACTAAGGCAAAGGAGGGAAAATATCTTGCCCACAGTCAAAGGACTGGTAATGGGGAGAGCTAAGACTGGAACCTGGGTCTGTCCTGATTCCAGAGGGGAAGCGCCCACCTGCTGCCAGGTTCCCAGCAGCTCCACCTCAGTGACAACCACATTACCTGTCTGGGCTGAGGTTCTGGCCAGTGTCAAAAGCTCGTGCCACCAGGATCATGGACTGTCTGTCGCCAGCTTCAGCCGCTTTCAGTAAGTAATCGAACCCTTTTGTTTTATTCTCTTCAGTCTCCTGTCAATACAAACCAAAAAGAGGGGAAAATTTAAAAAAAAAAAAAAAAAAGCAATCAAGTCTGGGCGCTGGTGGCTCACACCTGTAATTCTAGCTATTCAGGAGGCAGAGATCAGGAGGATCGTGGTTCAAAGCCAGCCCGGCTTTGAAGTTTGCAAGACCCTATCTCAAAAATACCCATCATAAAGAAGGGCTGGCAGAGTGGCTCAAGGTGTAGGCCCTGAGTCAAGCCCCCACTATCACAAAAAAAAAAAAAAAATTAATCAAGGTTTTCCTGAGATGGGGCTGCCAAGATCTCACTCACTAATCTTCTCCCATTTTCTTGAATTATTTGAGAGTTTTAAGCTGGAGCCATGGTAGAATTACATGTCAGTAGTTCTTAGTGTATTCATGGGTCATCGCCACAATCAGTTTCAGAGTATTTTCATCAACTCCCCCCAAAATGCCCTTAACTGTCTCTCACTACACCAAATCTCTCCATCCTGCCCCATCTCTGGGCAATGCTTGGTCTACTTTCCCTTTGTATGGATTCTGGCACAGTGGTGTGTACCTGTAATTCCAGCACTGGGGAGGCTGAGGCAGAAGGATCATGAGTTTGAGGCTACTTTGGGCTACACAGAAAGACCCTGTCTCAAAAATCAATAAATAACTAAATAAATGCAGTCACACAATATGTGCCCTTTTGTGTCTGGCTTCTTTATCTTAGCATGTTTTCAAAGTTCATTGTGTTCCTTCATTTATCTACTCATGAACTTTTAAATTGTTTCCACTTTGGGCTATCTGAATAATGCTGCTATGAACATTCATGTGTAAGGTTTTGTGTGGATGTACGTTTTTAATTCTCGAGTACACACCTACTTGGGTGGAACTGTCAGTCACTTGAAGCTCTGTGTTTAGCCTTTTGAGAAGCTCTCCAACTGTTTTTCCAGAGCTCTGCACCCTGTACATTCCCACCAGCAGTGCCCCAGGGCTCCTGCTTCCAGTCTGCTTCCCCATGATCCATCCCACAGCAACCAGAGAGATGCGGGAAAGCCTGGGTCATTACTCTCAACATGCTGTTCCCTGGCTTCCTAACTCATCACAGACAAATCCAAAACCCTTGTATCAGCCTGCGATGGCCTCCTCAAACTTTGAGCTTCAAAAAGTGTGGCAGGGCTGGGTGTAGTGTACACCCTTGTAATTCCAGCACCCAGGAGGCTGAGGCAGGAGGATCTCAAGTTTGAGGCCAACTGAGCTACACAGTTAGACTCTATCTCAAAAACAAACCAAAAACGTGGCAGGAACTACCTGTTGTTCCCATATTTGTTCTTTCCTGCTATGTTTTTGCTGGGCCCACAGCTGACCACCTGAAGACTACATTTCCCAGCCCTCCATTCAGCCAGGACCTATGTCCTAATACAAGAGGCCTATCTAGTTTTTCTGGGACACATTTCCTGTCCTATTTCTCCCTAGCACTTTAGAACATGCTTGGCATGGGAAGTGCTCAATAAAGGTTATTTTTAATTCTACTGGAAATATTTTTACTTAGCATATATTAGTTGTACAAAGGGGTTTCATTGCAATATTTCCACACATACATATAATACACAATGATCAAACTCAATCTCTTTAACCCTCCCTCGATCCTCCCCAATTCTTAAAACAATTTCAAAAGATTTCACAGTTCCATTTTCATACATGGGTATAAAGGACTTTGACCATATTCACCCCCTACTCCACCTTCTCCTTTCACCCTCCCCACTCCTGCTGATACCCACCCCAAATATGACCTGTTTTCTATCATCACCCTTTCCCATCTGCAAAGTTTGCTCCATGAGAGCAAGCCATTTCTATCTCATTCACTGTTGAGAATAAAAACCTAGGATGGCGCCTGGAGTGCAGGAGATGCTCAGAAATCATGTGCTTCTGAGTGAATGGATGTCTTCAAGACCACAGCAAAAGGACAAAACAATGCAGGCTTTCTGGGCACACGGTGGCCTCTCGGGGTCTACAGCCATCATTTTCCTTGCTAAGACACAAGGCTGGCTGGAACACAGCTTCCTTCCTTGTGCCTGTGTTTTCTGACCCCACAGGTCTCTGCACCTGCACCCCTGCCAGGGTCAGAACCCTTGAGAAAGGCTCATGGGCTCCCACAGAAGAGGAAGCTGAATTTGCTTCTTAATCCTCTACAATCTAATTAGGTGCAGCTGGTGCAAGCAGCAAGGAGTTATCAGAGAGCCTCAGAGAGACAGAACCCCCACCATACTGGGGCCAGTCCCTCACATTTTTAATGCTAGGAATAATGCATGGGCTTTGTGCAACATCACAAGCCAGTGATTCTTGTGGTATCAGAAGAATGGAACCAACTCAAGTACTCGTGAATAGGGCACAGGTTAAACAAGTGTGTCATATCCATTCGATAGGACATTGTCAAAAAGAACCAGGAAGGGAGGGGACAGGGGAGATGGCCCAAATAATTGTACACATGTATAATTATGAAATAAAATTTTAAAAATAAAATAAAAGAATTAGGAAGCTTTCAGGCCTATAATTCTGGCTACTTAGGAGGCAGAGATCAGGAGGATTGTGGTTTGAAGTCAGCCCGGGCAAATAGTTTGCAAGACCCTATCTTGAAAGGGTGTAGGCCCTGAATACCAAAAAAAAGGAAAAAAGAAAAAATCAGGAAGCTTTCTCTGTATCACTGAGGGAGAGAGTATGCTTGCTAACTTCGGAGGGAAAAAAAGAGGATCAAATAAGAATCTATATTTACGTATGGAAATTGTGTACTGGGCTGAACATTATTCTCACCCACCCCAAAAAAAAAATTCATGTCCACCCAGAATCTCTGAATGTGATCTGACTTGGAAACAGGGTCTTCGAAGATGTAATTAGTTATGTTAAGATGAGCTTGTATTGGCTTAGGATTGTCCTAAATCCCGAATGACTGGTGTCTTTATAAGAGCAGAAGAGACAGACAACAAGACAAAGCCTTATGAGGGAGAAAGTTATGGGAAAAAAGAAACAGAGATTGGAATAATCCAAGCCAAGAAACGTCAGTGATTGCCAGAAGTCCCCAAAGTCTGAAAGAAACAAGGAAGGATTCTCCCCTAACATTCTCAGAGGGAGCACAGCCCTGCCAACACATTGGTTTTGGACTTCTGGCCTTCAGAACTGTGAGAGAATGCATTTCTGTTGTTATAGCTGCCAGTCTGTGGTAATTTGTTATGGTAGTCTTATGTAATTAATACATTCTGGAATTATATATGTAAAACTAGTAATAACAGTTACTTGTTATTAAGAAAAGAGAGGATGAGAGAAACAGTAGAGTTTTCACTGCAAATCTTTTTGCACTCAAAAAAATAATCTCTGGGTGCCAGTGGCTTGCACCTGTAATCCTAGGTACTTAAGAAGATGAGATCAGGACTGCGGTTTGAGGCCAACCAGGGCAAATACTTTGTGAGACATCATCTCCAAAGTAAAAGGGACTGGAGCAAAATGGACTGGAGGTATGGCTCAAGTGGTAAAGCGCCTGCTTTGCAAGTGCCAAGTCCTGAGTTCAAAGCCCAGTCCCACCAAATTTTTAAAATTTTTTTTACCTATTTAAAAAGTTAAATAAATAGGGCTGGCAGCGTGGATCAAGTGGTACAGTGCCTGTCTAGCAAGCAGGAGGACCTGAGTCCAAATCCCAGTACCACCAAAAAGAAAAAAAGTTAAATAAATAAAGGACTATAGAGCATCTTTCTCCACGCTCTTCTGGTCTGAGATCCACCACTCACTAGCCACAGTCAGGCCCAAAGTATAGATGGTGCCCTCTGCCCTGTGTAGGTCAGTCCCAGACCATGTAAAGAGGAGGTTGAGGACAGATGGGGACAGACACACCCTCCAAGAGTGTCTCAACCTCTCCTAGGAAAAGATCACATTGCCTAAGGCCTTTCCAGGTCTGTCCACTCAGTCCTTCACTTCTGTGCCCATAGACAGGGAAGAAAAGACGAGGGGAACCCCAACTATTTCCAGCACATCCACATCCTGCTGCTTTAGATCCAACCCTGGTCGCTCTTCAGCCCCAACTCTTGCACCATCTTGCCCCTGCTCATGACCTCTCCCTGCCATCTTGTCTCTCATTGCTGGACCTGAGCTTGTGCAGTTCCTTCCCCTTGCATTGCTCCCCTCCTACACTGTCTAGCGCACTCCCATTTAGCCTTGCAGTCTAACTTCGACATCCCTTTGTTCATTCACTCCTCAAATGCCAGGCTCTGCTCTTGCCACTAGTGATATAAAAGTTAGGAAACCTGATGGCTGAGAATGATGACTTGGATATTGATAAGGAATCACACTCAAACACTCTGACGTTAATAGAATGACCTATGACATACAGCACAGTCTTGCTGTCCCAAAGTCCCCACACCCACAGAAAATGACAGTATTGGTATGACCATCAAAGACCAAGATCTCCCCTGCCTGATGTGTAGGAGGTTGGATGCATAAACCAGTCTCCAGAAGTCAATGACACATTAACCCAGTTTTCCAGGACTGACCCCATGTCAGCAGATCTTAATAAAAGTTTGAGGTCCTGGGACCCCAGCACAGCACTCCTTTTTGAGCCAGCCGCCCTCCATAGGAAGTGTGTACTCTTCCTTCACTTTTGTTTGCATTAACAAACCTGCTCCTGGTTAAGTCTCATGTGTCTATCCTTGAATTCTTTCTCTGACAAGAGGAAGAACTTTGTGATGCCCAGACCATACTCCGAATCTTGCAGCACCAGGAGTATGGTGGAGGTGATGATCAGGAGGTCTGCACCCACCCCTCAAAGCCCCAGTTGAGGGCCCTTCCTCATTTCTTTCCACCAATGTCCTCTGTCTTCCCAACATACCCTGTCATTTATTGCTTGGATATATGACTGCCCCCTTCCACTTACTCTCCAAAGATAGAGATCAATTCTACCTCTTTCAACTATTTTTTTTGGTTTTTGGTTTTTTTGCCGTACTGGGGTTTGAACTCAGGGCCTACACCTTGAGCCACTCCAACAGCCCTTTTTTGTGATGGGCTTTTTCAAGATAGTGTCTTGAGAATTATTTGCCCACACTGGCTTCAAACCATGATCCTCCTGATATCTGCCTCTTGAATAGCTAGAATTACAGACGTGAGCCACCTGTGCCCGTCTTCAACTAACTTTGAAACCTCTGGATCCAAACCAATGTTTGGTGATGGATTGGTCAAACTTCCTACTTCCTGGTGTGTCACTGCCACCCCTCACCTTCAGAGAAACATCAGCCAGGATGTGGTGGGGCAGCTGTGAGTACATGAGTCCCAGGCCCACAATGGCCTCCAGCTCGCCCAGGTCAGCTGCATGCTCCAGATGGAAGACTGCCGACTCGCGGTCCCACTCCTCATCCTTCTCGCAGAAGCGCCCGCCCTCATGGTAGCGCACCATGGCCAGATGGACCTGCCACACAGACTGTGATGTTGGCTGACCATCTGGGAGGCCAAGGCCACACCCAAGGGCCACCCATCCAGCCTATGGAAGGAAGCAATTAGTGCAGGAGAAATGTGAGGCAGAGGCTCTGGGTTAGTGCGGAGAGGTCTCCAAAATGGGCATCACCAATACCTTCCCCAAAATAGACTTCCCGATTTTCTTGTCAAGGTCCAGAGCATTAAGCCTTTGCACTTCCAGGGCCACAGCAGAAGGCCTCGGTAGGTGGAGGCGGGAAGGGTTGAGGAGGTTCCACGTGTCCACACAGACCTAGGGAGGGAGACCAGTGGGTGGAGTTTACAGGCCAAAGAACAAGGGGCTGGTGCTGGATACGCTGTTACAGCTGTCTGCAGCCCCTATGACATGGAAGCCTGGCTAGCAAGAGAGGGGGCAAATCCTCACAGTGTCAAACTATATTTGGCAAATGTGGCTGCAGTTCTAACCATTCAAATGTCACTGGCTTGTGGGTGCTGAGAGATGGCAGCACCAGGACATAATGACCAGCAGGATGGACTGTGGCAGCTCTGAGAAGCACTGCTCCCTTATGTGTCAATTTGGATGAGGCTGGGAGGGGTTCAATGCTAAACTTCCTCCTTTGCAGCTCCCCATACAAGGCACCCAGAAAGTTTGGCTTCACCAAGTCCATTTGTTTTCCCTATGGGCCAACCTGATGCCAGGGGAAACACCACCAGGGTACTCTGGCAATGGGTTTAGAAAACATCCTTTCTGGCAGGGCATGGTGGCATGCACCTGTCATCTCAGCTACTCAAGAGGTAAAGGTAGCAGGATTGTGATCCAAACCCAATCGAGTCAAATCATGAGACCCTACTTGAAAACAAACTAAAAAGTAAAGGACTGAGAGCATGGCTCAAGTGATAGAGCATTTGTGCAGCAAGAGAGAGGCCCTTAGTTCAATCCCCTACTGCAAAAAGAAGAAAAGGAGAGAAAGAGAAAAGAAGAAGAAGAATGAGGAGGAGGAGGGGCAGGAGAGGGGGAGGGAGGGAGGGAGCGAGGGAGGGAGCAAGGAAGGGAGGGAGGAAGGCAGGAAGGAAGGCAGGCAGGAAGGAAGGCAGGAAGGAAGGCAGGAAGGAAGGAAGGCTGGAAGGGAAGGAGGGAGAGAGGGAGGGAGGGAGAGAGGGAGAGAGGGAGGAAGGAAAAGAAAATGTCATTTCTCCCAGCCAAAAACATTCTGTCCAGAGGTTCTTGCAGGACAGAACCATGCAGCTGTGTACTTGCATGCATGCATACTCAGCACCCTACAATACACAGGACAGCCCCACAGCACAAAACCATCCAGCTCAGAGCACCAACAGTGCCACAGTTGAGCAGTCCTGACTCAACCGGAGATAGTTTGTGTTCATAGTCAGTGTGCTGGGAGAAGCAAGAGCCAAGCCCACTGGAGTGGTTAGGGGAGGGTCCCAGAGGAAATGCCACAGTGGCACAGGTATAGAGTGTGATTTGAGGAGAAAGGGATAGAAAGGCAGGAGGAGCATGCAAGTGGGAGATTCACCTTAGCAAAAGCTCAGAGATATGAGGTTCAAAGTGTGTTTGGGACTTGGCTAGAGAAGAGTGTGTAAGGTGGAGGTCTTGTCTTTCCCAGACGTGCCTTTTGCTAGCCATCATCTGAGATGCTTGTTACATATAGATAGCACTCCTAATCCAAAAATCATAAATCTGAAAGGCTCCAAAGTATGAACCACAAGGGGAAAATTCCACACCTGGCCTCATGGGTCATTGTGGCAGTCAAAATCCTAAAACACTAAAAGTACTGAATAAGATCACCTTAGGCTATCTGTCTACGTGTATGGAAACACAAATGAATTTCCTATTTTACTTGGGTGCCATCCCCAAATTACTTCCTTATGTGTATGCAAATATTGCAAAATCCAAAACACTCCTGGTATCAAGCATTTCAGGGAAGGATTCTCAACCTGGACTGGCTGGGTAACCTGGGGAAGTTGCTGAGGATCCCCACTTTCTCAAACATAAAATGGGGGTGAAGGACTTTAGTCTATCTCACTGGTGATTACAGACGTAAGTGATTTTTGTAAATGGCTGAGGCACCTCCACGTCAGATACCATAACATGGGCTGCAGCTCTTTGTGTCATTTCTCCTCCAGGACCAAGTCTTCTTTAATCCTCCCCACAAATCCCCCGGCATCCTGCCCAGGACAGGGCCTCAAATTTGTCCAGGGAATTTGTGCCTTTACATGCATGAGATAGAAGAAGAGGGAGAATGACATGGGAGGAGAAAAAGCAACAAAGCCTACAAGAGGTGAATAAGCAGATGTCACTAGGCTCCTAAGGCCACATTACCCGTCCAGAGCTGCCCAGGCTGTCTTCGTCAGACTCAAGCCTCTGGTTGCCGTTTGAGTGGCCCTGCAAAGAAGCACAGATTGAAAGATGCGAACGGTAGACCTTCCCCCTAGATCCAACTCCCAGGGAACCAGCCCCATGCTCCCAGATGAAGCTGAACCCCTTGTCTGACAAGCCAAAGGGTTTCTGGGTCTCAGGCAGGAATAAGGGATTGCTGCGGATGAAGCCTTCCTGTCCCTCCATCTGTGTGAACAGATGGAACTGACCCAGAGGCACTGGGTCCCAGCACAAAGCCACTGGGGAATGGTACTGACTCCTTCCTCTAGAGAAGGCCTCTCCTGCGTGTTTTTTTATTCACTCACACAGCTGAGATCAGAGACCTCCCAAAGGCTGACCTTGAAGCACAGGCTTGATTTTGACACACGAGACCTCTGAATGGCTAATCCCCAAAGGTGCCCTTGAAGCTGCTGTGAGGGAGCCTGAGGAAACCTACCTCTCACATACTCCCATGACTGCCAGGGCCCTGTGCCCATAAGCTGGGCCCTCCCACCTGCACCAGCACTGGTTCAGCCTATTACCCAGCATCCTCTCTGCTGAGCAATCCACTCTAGCTTTATCATGAGATTGGTCTGCCACTTTCAATCTTGTATCCAAGCATCCATAGTTGTTCCCTTCCTAGTCCACACCACTCTGCTTTATTGTCATCCCTGCATTTACCTTTATTGGAAATCATCTTGTTTGTTATTTAAATTTACTTGCTGTGATCTCAGGACCCACTTACATTCCTACTCTGGCTTTTTATCCTTACTGGAGGGGTAGACGAGGCAACAGTGGACTCTGGTCTCTTTGCCTAGGAGGTCCTTACATGTTCTCGGGGATCTGGGTCATCCAGTTCACCCCGCTTCTCACTGGGGTATCCGCTGTCCCCACTGTTCTCAGAGTCCTGTGGAGACAAGATGACCTTAAGGTTCTAGTGATCCTCTGGACATCCCAATCATTTGCTTTCTCTCCTTTATCCCACCACCTCACTTAACATTCACTTCTCCTGCCCCTTGCTGGCAGAAAGTAGTGAGAAGAGCCTGGGCTCTGGAGCTGGACTGCCAAACTCACTCAAATCCTGGCTGTGTAACACACCAGCTGGGACCTGAGCATTTGCTCAACCTCTTGTGTCAGTTTCCTTAGCTGTGGGGATTCATGCTAGAGCCTATTTCAAAGGGCTGTGCTACAGTTAGGATATGAAATGTCCTCCCCATTGTTGAAGGCTTGGTCTGCAGCTGGTGGTGCTACTGAGAGGTGATTGGATCGTGAGGTGCCGACTTCATCAATGGATTAATCCATAGCTGAGTTCATAGGTCAGTGGGCTATTAGGAGGTATGGCCTAGCTGGAGGAAGTAGGTCACTGGCTTTGAAGGTATATATTGTTCCCGGACCCTTCCTCTCTTCAGGTGAGCTTTCCTGTTTTACCACTCACTCCCGCCATGATGTTCTGCTTTACCATGGCCCAGAAACAATGACCATGGACTGAAACTCTGCAACTGTGAGCCAAAATCATTCTTTCCTTCTTTTAAGTTGTTCATGTCAGATATTTTGTCACAATGATGAAAAAGTGACCAATGGGCTGTGAGGAGGAAGGAGCTGCTCCACCCTGAGAATGCAGATCACAGTGAAGGGCTGTCACTCAAGAGGGGCTCATGTGTCACAAGCAGAAAACAAAGGTGTATTAGGGCCATGACCCATCTACAAAACCATGACACTGGGAACAGCATTTACCACAGCTAAGCTGTATCACTCAGACTTTTCCCTGAGGTGACCAAATACCTGACAGAAATAACAGAAGAGGAAGGATTTATTTTGGACACAGTCTCAGTCTGAAGTCCTTGGCTCCACAGAGTCTGGGCCCATGGTAGGGGGAATAACATGGCAGTGGAAGCAGGTGGAGGAAGAGGCTGTTCATGTCTGGGTGGACGGGAAGAAGAGAATGAGAAAGGGACTGAGGACCAGGTATAACCTTTAAAGTCCCGCCCCCCATACCCTACTTCCTCCAGCTAGGCCCCACCTCCCAATGTTTCCAGAACCTCCCAAAATAGCACCATCAGCAGGGGACCAAGTGTTCAACACACAAGCCTGTGGAACACATTTCATATCCAAACCATAACTTCAGCCCTCTATCAAGGTGGCACAGGCCCCTTGGGCATATTTTTTATCTTCCAGATCCAAGTTCTGTTCTGAAAGGGAATTTGGCATAACTCAGAATCTCTAGGTGGGTGATGCTGCATGCCTGTGATCCTAGCTATGTGGCAAGTATAGTTAGGAGGATCGAGGTCGGGGGCCAGCCCTGGCAAAAAGTGTGAGACACTTTTTGAAAAACAACTAAAAGCAAAAAAGAGCTGGGGTTTGGCTCAAGTAGTAGGGCACTTGTCTTGCATGTGTGAGGCCCTGAGTTCAAACCCCAGTGCCACCAAAAAATTAAAATAAAAAATAAGTAAAATAAAGGGAACAAAAAGTAATATTTGCCTCCTAAATTTTGAAGATCAAATGAGAATATCTACCAAGCCCTAAAATCATCTGTCCTAAGTGACAATCTCAGAGTGCAATGCACAGTGGGATGGCAGGCTGTGTAAGTATGACATTTCTGCAAAGTCTATTTCTTTATACATTTGAAATTTAAATTTCTAATTTGATGGCACATATACACTTGGGTAGAGGCAAACAAGATCCCTTTAGTTTCTCACACTAAAATTGCAGGAAGCATTTTTATACAGCTCAAGAGCATCACGGACCCTGTGCTCTGTGTTCTAAGCCTGAGACCTACAAAAAGGGACCCCTTTTGGTCCACACACGTGGCCAAACCCCACCTGAGCCTGACATCAACTAGGTCATTCTGTTGCTGACTTGGAATCTTCCTTCCCTAAACATCTCCTCCCAGAGGAAAGTTCTTCCCCTTCTCTGCTGCCCTATCCCATGGCCTCCTGGTGGTGTTCGCAGCAGACGTGGGCTGGGATGCCCACCTGAATGTGAAGTCTCCCTCAGTTACCACTCTTCCCATTCTGCTGAGGACTGGAGCCTGCAGCCTCTCTCCCTCCCTCCCACTCCACTCACCCGGTGGTTGTCTAGTCGGTCATGGTCTCTGGGTACCATGTTATCGAAGTCACCAAACACTGGCCAATCTGAGCAGGAACAAATAAATAGACATACTGTGCTGATTTCATGGCTGGAACATTCATAAGACCAGTCAATGGCCTAGACCCTACCTATACTAAGCTTTTTTTTTTTTTTTTTTAAGGCACAGAATGGAAGAAGGTTGTCAGCCTCTAGAGGGTTCTGTCTCAAGAACTTATCCTAAGTTGCGAGCTGTAAGGAGTAAGCAGCTTCCCTTTTATGCCTCTATCATAATGCAATTACACTTGTAATGTGCTTATCAGCACACTCAGCAATGAATAAAATGAAGTTATAAGGGAAAAAAAGCCATTTGTACATTTTGGGCTTCAAAACCAACCTTCTACTAGAAGGTTTTTTATATAATTTCAAATTTTTATTTCTAGAGTTACCTATTAAGGCCTAAATTGATGTTACTTACAGTTGAAGCATTCCACTACTAATAGTTCACCAATTAATTATAGATTAATTAACTATATATAGAATAATCAGTTCTCAAATACTCCTAGAAAACACGTTACTCATTAACAAGTAAGTTAATTAAACTAAAAAGAATCCCAAAAGATAGATAATACATGTAAACATTTCACATAGGTCTCTCACATAACATTATTTAACAGTTAATGACAATTTTAGTTCCCTATCTCTGCCCACCCCACTCATCACCAAAAGCTTTTTTGAGTCAAATATGTCTAGCTGCCAGTTTTATAGTTAGTCAGAATGGGGGCTGAAGGTATAGCTCAGTGTGTAAAGTGTGTGCCTAGCAGGCATGAGGCCTGGTTGAACCCCTAGCCTACCGCTCCACACACACACAGTATTCAAGAATGGTTTTTACATTTTTAAATAGCTGAAAAAACTACATGAAATTTAAATTTCAGTGTCCATAAACAGAATTGTTTGGGAACACAGACATACTCATTCTTCTAAGGTTTTTCTACAGCTGCAAACACACAGACCATATGGTCTGTAGTTTAAATATTTACTCTCTAACCCTTTAGGAAAAACTTTGTTGACCTCTGCTCCTGACTGTTCCAAAGGTCTTCCAGTGGAGACGTCTAAACGGCTGCCCTTATGTCCTGACATCACAATCTTCTTCTCCTGCTCAGTCAAATTGCTCACAGACTCTTCCAGCTGAATAAAAAGTCACATCACTTTTCTAGCTCTTCAGGTCAGTCTCACCTCCCAACTCTTCTGCAGACCTCACATCAAACATCAGCAAACTCTGCCACTTCCTCAGAAATGATTCAGCTTTGCTTCTTTGACCTCTTAATATGATAACAGATGCCCTAATGTTAAACAATCCTCAGGTTTGACTGTGACATACTATTATTGGTTTCTATTTGTTAATACTTTAATTCAGAATTTTAATATTGTGCATATATAATTGAGATTGGAATAAAATCTTTCTGACAGTTTTGGTATAAGAATTTTGCTAGTTTCATAAAACATGCTGAAAAAATGCTACCTTGTTTTCACAAGAAGGATTGTTTTCATAGCATTTGGATGATCTATACCTTGAAAGTTATTCGAGGAACTCACCTGTAAAGCTACCTGGACTGTGAATCTTTTTGGGTAGCATGTTAGATTTTCTAACATCAGTGAAAATCTACCTGGTGCCTGTCCCTTCCAATTTCAGTGATCAGTGACCAAACCATTACTCACGGAGGTGGTCCAGTTTCTGGCTGAGTGGTGTGGCAGAAGACGGGGAGGAAGGGAGAGAGTCGAAGGTCACATCACTCATGTTCTCATCTCCAGAGTTCTCTGAGAGGCGAAAGAGCAGTGGGGGTCGGCTGCCAGAGAGGGTCCTTATTCGGGGGCTCCCACACTTTTCTTCTGTTCCCCTCAAGATGGTCTTGGCTGATTGCTGGGGACAGTAATGTGGATATTCATGTCATGCTGGCACCCCTCTGGGGAATGAAGTACTCCTTTTATTGTCCCTCTAGCTCTGAATCCCTTTTAGACATGCCTTTTATACACACTTAATAGACAATACAGATTCAGATTTTTTGTTTTGGTGGTACTGGAGTTTGAACTCAGAACTTCACACTGCTAGGTAGGAGCTCTACCACTTGAGCCTCTCTGCCAGCCCAAAAAAACCCAAAACAAAGCTGGATGTGGTGAAGGGGCACACAGACCAGAGCTCAAAGGGCCTGCCAACCAGCATCCCTAAAGTAATGGTCATGTTTTCCAGCTCCAATCTAGAGAGTATTTCCCAGAGTTCTAAGTTGGCCTTACCAATATTCTCCTGCATCTGGTCTGTGCAGCACGGATGGGGCAGGGTAGTCCCAGCCCACTCACAGTGTGTACCTAGAGGACCAAACCTAATTCTAGTCCACTCATCCAACAACCCAACAACCTCCTCTCACTTTTCTACCTTTCTGTTTTTCTTACTCTGGTCACAAATATGCCCAACTCAAGCAGACTCCAGTGACTCTGTTACGGGATACTCAGCAGGGGTCTGTGTGCTGAGCAGGAGGGAATGGGGACATGGATTGGATAGGTCTTTCCAGCCCTGATACCCTTCAGTTAAGCATTGCTGGGCCTGGCTACCATCACACAGGGAAGCTAGGCTTACTGTGTGGGTGGCAAAAGGGCCAGCCAGTCCCAGTGGGTACCCACCAGCAGCTTGGTGCTCTGATTTACTGCATTCTGCTCCCGTGGTGAGAGGTCAAAAGGAGCAAGGCCCATGCTATTGCAAATCCGGTTGCAGGCATGAGAGTAGAAGAAGAGAGCCATCCCCCGGACACCTGCAGACAGAACAGGGGTGTTGACTGTTGTCTGGCACAGTGACAGGAAGGAGCACTGTGGTGGAAAGGGGTCAGACCTCCCATGCTCCCATGTCAATGAACTTGGGAGAGCCCAGACATTGTCTTAGCTGCTTCCATGGTTTCCAAAGAACTTGCAGATTTAAGGGGAGCATGGTCTCCGTGGAAAGTGGCTGGCTGTCCAACCTACCGAGGTTGCCATCTCCAAAATCAGTGCCTGTCTCAGTGTGGATCTGGGGGTCAGTGTAGAGGTCGCCCACACCTTGGATGTCCACTACAATCAGCTGATGGCCAGAACGCTCAAATGTGAAGTGGCTGAAGGCCTGTGGGGAGGCAGAAAGAAAAGGGTGGTTCCAAGAGACCAGGTGGTGGGCTATGTAGACACTGGCCAGCCACTGTTCTGGGGGTTAGAACACTCCAGCTCTGCCCAAGTTGGGGGCTTCCTCCACAAGGATTTGAGAAAGGAGAAAAAGAAAAAGACAGAAGCACTGTTCAACTCTCCAGGGACCTCGGGGACGCAGGCCCTGTGGCCATTTCTGGGTCTGCTGATAGAATCCCACTATAGAATCTCCTTCTGAATGTTCCAAGGGACTTGAGGAGCCTCTGGGGATGTGAGATCCCCCCCTGCCCATACCAACAGGGATCTTCCTTTCTAGGGCTGATTCTGGCCAGGGTGGGTAGAGAGTAGCAGTGTGGGCAGAGCAAGTCTGGGGCCTCACCTGCGGCGTCAGGCGGATGTTGTCATCACGGACAAAGCCGGAGTTAGAGTTGTACTTGATGTATTTGCCCTCAATGTAGTGCTCCAGGTGGAAAAGAGGTTGGTCTGGTCTTTCCTTCATCTCGATGATGCACATCTGCATGATGTCCACCTGGTGGGAGGGCAGAGAGTGTGGTCTGTCTGAGCTCAGATCCCGGCTCTCTCACTTTTTTTCTGTGGTTATGGCAAGAACTGCTGACTGTCCCCAGAACCCATTCTCCCCTTTTCCTTTTAGAATAAAACCCACATCCCTGAGTTTTAACAGGATACACAGCCAGTATGCATCATGAAGGGATCACATGTTCAGCCTCCCTACTTAACAGTTAGGTGTGGTCATGTGATCACATCTGACCAATAGGAAGTGAGCAACAGCAATATTGTAACTGCAGCCCCATCCTGCAAGATGGATGCTGCCTGGGAGCCAGAGCTGACCCCATCCTCCACAGCAACCCCAGGGGGTGGCAGAGCAACAAGACAGAAGGACCCAGGCCTCTGGATGACATCAAGGTCACAAGGCACCAGCTCACCCAGAACCAGCCCCAAACACAGGACTGTCACATGAGCAAGAAAGAAACCGTTTGTGTCAGCACACATTCATGGGTAGGTTTGCCAGCAACTTAGCCTTTGCCTTACACTAAAATTGTATAAATTTTAGCAAGTCATTATAAACTCTCCATGCCTCCATTTACCCACCTGTGGAGAGGGGATTGCAGACTTAGCATGAAGATTAAATTTACTGATGCAGGGAGGGTCTGTCAATGTTTACAACATTATTATTCTAAGTACACACAGTTCTAGTCACACATTTCAATGTGGAAACAGTGGCTGTCTTCCTTCACAGGGGGTCATGAAAAACCTGTATGTTCAGTGCTCAATTATTTTTTACAAAGTATATGTTCAATTTTGTACAGAGAAGGAAATGCGTAAGTACTATATATGATTTGTAAAGTGGGGTAGGGGAGACCTGTCACATTTATCTCCTGCCTTGTCACACAAGGACACAACCATAGCACCTGCCAGCTCAGTGCCTCCCACAATAAGAGAGGAGCAAGGTTCAGGGATTTCCCAAGAAAATGACTCATCCAGGGAGGCTGAGTCACCAGACAGGTAGACAGGAACTGCAGAAGCCAAAAGACCCCAGAGCTGAAAGCTGAGAGCTTCTGTATGTACGGTTGTAGTTCCCAGAACCAGACTGATGGGAGGAGGGTGGTGTTGAGGGGGTTCCCACCATCAAACTTAGCCCTATCCCAACAAGGGCACCTGCTTGGCCAGAAGGCTTGCTGAGTGAGGGGCAGTGCACAGGCTGAGTGGACATCCACTACCAGTACCTGCTCGAACAACCACACCCCTCTCCCTCCTTTAATTCAACAATGATTACTTCCTGGGCAACTAGACACTAGGAGATAGCAGTGAGCAAGATGGATAAAAATCCCAGTCCACAGGGGAAAGCAATTAAAATAGGAACTAAATGGACAAGACCCTTTTGGGAAGCACTAACTGCTCTAAGAATGGAAAACAAAACAAACCAGAATGTGGCAGAGGTGACTGGGTAGAAGGGCAACTTCATTTAGGGTGGGCTCAGACCGTTACTGAGGAGATAACACACAAGCTGAGACCTGAACTGTCAAAAGGAGCTGTCTTTGCAAGGACTGGAAGACAAATGATGCAGGCCAAGGCCACAACCAGAGCAAAAGTCCTGGGGCAAGGACAGGTTCAGGAATGAAGAGAAAGGACATCAGGCCAGAGCGTAGTGAATTACTGAGGAAGTTACAATTATTCAGGAAAATGAGGACTGTGGTTTCTTGTGCACACTCCAAGTGTGCTTAATCCAGGGCCCTGTGAATAGCAGGCTCATACCTGGAAGCATGGCTCTCCTGGGGCACCAAGGTGTCACTGACTATAGCTATTAGGTGCTCAAACAATGGAGCCATGAGTTTCGGCAGGGCAGTGGCATGGAGCAAATCCTCAAGTCTCCACAGGCAACAGGAATCTACTTGGCCATAGCCAAGACAGTCTATAGTCTGTAGGACTCTAGAGACTCAAGTGGAGAAGCTAACCTGGCAAAGGGTGGGAAGGCCTGGATTTCAGCGTGGCTCCATTCTAGCCTTGCTGGGAAAGTCATTTAACTTCACTGAGACCTAGGATTCCTAGGGAGCCAACAGGGCATTCACTCCCCTCCTGTTTGCTTGGAGCCACCTGTCCTCAATCTCAGCCCATGTGGTCTGGGTGGAATATCTTATCTTCCTGGCTCTAAGGGTGGGCAACTGGCTGAGGCTTGCCCAATCTGCATATTCCCTACCCTCGACGTTGCAATCGGCTCAGTCATAGCATCTGACCTTATCAGAGTCAATGAAATCCAGTTCTAAGACCTTAATTGAACCTTCTAGGAAAAAAGTGTTACCATTCCAACAAGGTTGCTGAGGAAAGAGAAAGTGAGCCTGCAGCTGCTATGATCAACATCCTACTACAGGTGAAGAGGCTGCCTGAGAGTGATGTCAAAACAGAACGACCAGGCCAGAGATGGAGCAAGATTCTTAATAACCTCAGCTTGGTCCAGGATCCAGCCATGCCTGTAGCTGGATCTATTTTTTAGATGCATGAGACAACTGAATTTCCTTTTTGGATTAAGTCAGTCTATGTGGGCTTCTGTCATTTGCAAACAAAAGTCTTGACGAGTAGATCCCAATTTTAAGTGGGGACAAAAATACTCCCTCAGAGCTCTATTTTTAGGAATAAATGACTCTCTGCTCACAAAGAACATGGCTTGGATGGTAGTTGTCACTGGCTACTGTTAAGAGTGAAGAAGGGACCCCAGCTGCTGGCATCACCATCACTCCAATCCCTAGACACTGTCCTGAGCTGCTCTCTGCTGCTCTGTGTACCAAGTAGGCAGGTTGCCACATACCTGCTTGGGGGGCTTGTGCCGATTATACTCCTCCCCCCAAAGCTTGGCCTCCATCTGGAGACGTACATCTTCAAAGTACACATCTCTGTCCACTGGCTCGATGTAGCGCTTGGCCACGTAGTTGGAGGCCCCCTTCCACTGCTGGGCATGCAGAAAGTTGGAAAGTTTCTTCCTAGGGAAAAGGCAAGAGGGGGCGTCTGCCTGGGTCTCTGAGATTCACTGAAAACACATCCTGGGGCCTCAGCAGAGCCAGAACCTTCCCGACCTGGCTGGCTGGAGAAAGGAAATGCAGGAGACTGTGAGAGTCCCCACCCTACTGCATTCTTCAAAGAGGTAGGAAGGTGGCTAAAGGTCACTGTTAAAGGTCTACTATCCCACCAGTTTCTGTGACCTCCAAACACTAGTGGGATTTTCCTTGTTCTCCTAGAGCCGATCCCTATAGCTGGACCCAATATATGATCCAATAGAGACCAGACAGAGAGGCACTTGTGCTACAAGAAGGCAGAGGCCACTGTTTCCAGTCTTTGGGTGGAAGTGTCCCAATGTCTCAGCTTGGAGGAGCCTGGAGAAGTTTGGGCAGGGCCCAAAACACCAGGCCAAGACACTTACGTTCTAAAGCACTCCCTCATCGCTCCACGGCCAAAGGGCTGAAAAACACAACATAGAGAGATATCAGGCCCCTATCCCAGTCCCCTTGGACATCAACCACCCAGTGGGTGCACTGGACCTCATCCCAATCCTAATAACCTGGATCCTCCCTCCTTCACCCTAATGCCAAAGCCTGGAGGCCGCTGGGACAAGAAGGACCCCCTGTTCCAACACCCCAACCCAGGGTAAGAACCTATGGAGAATAGGATGTTGGGGGAGGGGCAGTACATGTCAAAGGATGTGTTTGTAGCCCTTCTGTAACAGAAAGTGGAAACAAAATGGCTAGGCATGGTGGTTCATGCCTATAACCCCAGCTACTTGGAAAACAAAGGTAGGATGACTGAGGTCTGAGGCCAGCCCAGGCAAAGTTAGCGTGAGACCCTATCTGAAAAACAAACTAAAAGCAAAAGGATTAGGGGTATGGCTCAAGGAGTAGAGTGTTTACCTAGTAAGAGTAAGGCCCTGAGTTCAATCCCCAGTACTGCAAAACAAAGCAAAAGGTAGAAACAAAGCTGGGGTGGTGGCACACACCTATCTCTGAGTCCAGGAATTCAAGGAAAGTCTGGGCAACAGAGTGAAACTCCTCCAAGCTCCTCCAAGCCTGCTATCCTTTGGATAATTTATTTGGTTTTCTTTGTTAGTTTGTGATTATATTGCTCAGGCTAGTCATGAGCTAGTGGGCTCAAGCAACCCTCCTGTCTGAGTGTTGGGACTACAGGACTGTACCACTGTGCCTAACTTCTATAGTTTGGATCCTGAATGTCCCCCTAAAGGCCCTTGGAGGCATGGCTGCCAAACCAGTGTGTTTGGGAGGTAGTGGAACCTAGAAGAGGAGGGGTGTAGTGGAAGGAAGTTAAGTCATTGGGATTGAAAGGATGTTAAGACCCCAACTCTTCCTCTCTTTGCTTCCGGGCTATCACGAGACAAACAGGCATCCTTCACCTGTTACTCCCGCCATGATGTATTTGTGCCGTCACAGGCTTAAAGCAAAAGGCCCAAGCAATCATGGACTGGAAGTTCTGAAGCTATAAGCAAAAGGCCCAAGCAATCATGGACTGGAAGTTCTGAAGCTATAAGCCAAAACATGCCCCTTTCCTTTTTAAAGTTGATTATGTTAGGTATTTTGTCAAAGTGAAGTAAAGCTCACTAACATAATGTCTCAAAGCAAAGGAAGCGGGGAGGGGAAACAATCCAGGCACATCTTAGTAATATACTGAATAAACCCACTAGGTCTACTCATTCAATGAGATATTACACAGCAATGAGAATTATGGGAAATAATGACTAAAAAACCCATACTTGCAGCTATATGAATATGATAGGAACTTGCAAAAATAACTGAAGGTATAGAATTCAAACTGGTGCTTATCTTTGGGGAGAGGGGAGCAGTGACAGAGGGGCTTTTTGGGGTGCTGGTTATATTATTTCTTCGTCTGGGTGCTTCTGACCCAGTATATCTACTTTGTGAAACTTACCAAGCTGTATGCTTTTCTTTTCTTTTTGATGCTAGGATGGAGCCCAGGACCTCATGCACACTAAGCATGTACTCTACCCCTGAGCTATGGCCCCAGCCAAGCTGGGTACTTTTTCTGTATGTACGCCATACTGAAAAGCTTTCATAGACAATCCTTATCCCCTCCCCCTTGTTTTGAACTCAGAGCCTCACACCTGCTCGGTAAGAGGAGCCACTCTACCAGCCCCTTTATCCTAACCCTTAATATGCAGAAAGAACTATTTTCTAGTCCTTTAAAAAATCTCGTTTTAAAAGCTGACTACAACCCACTGAATTTATTTTACAGCTCAGTAATAGGTAAGGACCTGCAAGGTTTTGTTTTTTTACAGTGCTGGAGCTCGAACCCATGCTAAGTGAGTATTCTACCCCTGAGCCACATCCCCAGACCGGGACCTGCAAGTTTTAAAAACTGATACATTTACTGCTAACTGATTTTTAACAAGAGTTCAGAGGACAACCTTTTGATGTCTGGTATCGTACTACTGAAATGTCTAGAATTGGCCAATGTATAGGAACGGAAAGTGGACTAGTGGCTGCCAGGAGTGGAAGATGAAGGAATAAGGAGAGACTGCTAATGGGCATGGGATTTCATCTGGGGAGGTGAAAATGTTTTGGAATTGATACTGGTGATGGTCACACAACTCTGAATATTCTAAAAACCACTGAACCATATACTTTAAATGGGCAAATTGTTTGGTACATTTGTAAGAAATGTAATATGTAAACAATAACATAAAGAATCCCCAAAGTTAAAAAATTTAACTAAAGAGAAGGTGGAGGGGAGGGCACAGGGACTGAAACTTGAGAAAATCTTCACTCAGCCCTGTCACCTCAGAACTCAAGAGTTTTGCTTACCTGAGATGCCATCTTGATTAGAACTTCATCTTCTAGCCACTCCCCAGTGACAGCATTGTACCTGCAGAGATCAGAGCACAGCCCAGGGCACACATGATCTGTCCCTCATTGGTTAAAAGACCCTCAGGATTCCCCATGGCCCTCAGGACCCAGACCATTCTCTATGTGGGCCTAAGGGCCCTGCTGACCTCCTGATTTGGGTTGTACACTTTCCCTCCCTCTAAGCCCCACCACACTTGCTTCCTTTCCTTTCCTCAAACACCCGGTTCCCTCTCCATGGTATTCTCATGTTAACAAGCCCCCATTCTCTGCTTTACTGTTTGCTGGCTTGTTCCACATCTGGCATCCACAAAGTACACCCATGTCTGTCTTGTTCATCATGGGGCCTGGTGTATATGGGTCTTAACAAATACATGTTGGATAACTGACTGAATACACAAACATCCTTCTTATAACTGGTCTGTGTAACAAATAGCACACTCCAAGGAGAAAGACAGCAGTACCCTCAACCACCTAGGCCAGATCCAGCCCAGGGATCTGGACACATCTCCCAAGAAGTAAGGGTTGTTCCAGTGCACACAGAGGAGGGAGAGGGTCCTGCCTGGGAGTCCAGCCAGGACAGGGGCTGCTGGGTACACACAGGGAAGGGTGCTAGGGGTGGAGGCTCCAGAATATTTCCATTTCTCCTCTCCCAAGATTCCTCTTTCCCAGAGTACATCTGGCCCTGGGCCTGGCTGGGCCTCGAACAAATTTGTCTGGTGGGAAGCTCCTGGCCTTAGTGAATCACTAACATCTAAAACCTCCTCTGTGCTGGTATTCTTAGCTCTGGTTGGAGGCCTCCCATGGCCCACTTCTTGGCAGACTCCAGAACACTCCCTACCCTGGTGAGAACAGGTTTCTCAGAGCTCAAAACTTCTGCAAGGAGAAATAAGCCAAGGTCTGGCAGGTAACCTTGTGCAGACTTAGAGGAGGAGGGCTCCCCAGAGCTGCAAACATGCTTGCAGCCAATCTGACACACATACTCTGCTCAATAAATAATAGCAGTGATTTGTTTAAAAACTAGATAGGGACTAAGGTAATGGAAATAATCCTCCTTTGCCTGCAAACTGATAAGCACCAGAGGCTGGGGTATGGGAGAAGGGTCTTACTTCCCACTCACAACCACTAATATGACAGTGATAACACTTGCTCAGAATTCACTGAGGTGGTGGTCTGTTTAAGCCCACATGCTGAGGGCTTAAATGGACTGCTTCATTTAACCTTTGCAGCAACTCTGAAATTGCTAAAAATCATTGTGCCATTTTCCAGATGGGGAAACTGAGACTTGGAGAGGCAAAGTCACCTGTCTGAGAGACAGGATTCAAATATGGGTGAGCTTAGACCATAACCTTGCTCTTAGCCAGCCTGAATACAACCCATACGGACAGGAAATCTGTCCCAATAAAGGGTGGCTTGCACCAGAGCTCTTAAAATGCCAGGGCTGGAGAAGCGTGCCATCAATGCCTGGCCTCCCACCACTGGCAACCAGGGCAAGTGAAGTCAATCACTTTCATTAGGAAATAAACAAATTGGTGCGATTCCAAATTCCAGAGGGGCTCCGGGACACCCAAAACCAGCTCAAGTCATGGATCCTGCTTGCCCAGGCTGGTGATCCCCAGGACCTGCCTGGGTGACCAGTGTCCTCAACCTGGAAGCTGTGCCACCAACCAGCTACCACAGTGCTCTTGCAGGTGAATGGCATAGAATCTATCTAGCCTGCCCTGCAGGGGTCCCCACAATGCTGACCATGGCTGCTAGGCATACAGCACAGACCCCACTAGGAGGTGGACCTCCAGTGGCAGGAGGAGAGGTACATAAGAGACTCTAAAGCCATTTCCTTGCAGGACGGGAACAGAAACATGCTATACAATGTGAAGAAGGCAAAGGATACTTCTTGGCCCCCTGAAACTAGATAAGGCTGTGTAACTAGATCTCATCAATGAAATGCAGGCAAAATTGATACCACTTCCTGGGCCCCAGCATCGAAAAGCTATGGTGCTAACTCAATGCTGTTTGTCTGTTTGGTAGCAGTTGTGGGGGTCACATGTTGAGAAGATGGAGTCACAAGATGAAAGTAGCCTGATTCCTGAACTGCATGAACTCTTGCCCAACTTCAAATGTGTGAGAAATATACCTTTGTTGCACAAAGCCCTGGGAATATCTGTTACTGCAGCAGAGCTCAACCTAGCTGTCTAATGTGTACCTTAGAGAACTTCAAATGTGAGAAATGTTTGAAGGCCTCAGAGAGATGATGTGTACTGTCTGGAGCCTGCACAAATCCTCAAATACTGGCTGCTGTTATTACAGGCTGAGTATCCCCTATCCAAAATGCTTGGGACCAGAACCATTCCAGATTTCAAGTGTGTTTTGATTTTGGAATATTTGCACAGACCTGACTTATTGAACATCCCTAATTTGAAAATCAAAAATGCTCCAAAATTTGAAACTTGGGTTTTTAGATTGGGGATGTTTGATCTATACTATTCCCTTCTCCTTGATTCCAAAGGTCTTGGGCCTCACTGACTATGAGTAGAAACAAGATACATGGCCCCCAGGACCCCTCAAAGCCCCCAGACAAGCTACTGACCTGTGCCTAGAAGCTCGTTCTGTGGCAATGTCCTCAAGGTGGAACTCAGCCCAGGGGTCAGGCATGTGCTTAGCCTTCTCAATTGCGTGCTTCCAGGCTTCCTGCGGAAGGCAAAGAGGGCATTAGGCCCACAAGTAGCCCAGCTGCCTCTCCCCTGCTATTTTCCCTGGAGAGGCCTGCAGCATTCCAGCCGTAGAATTCCCAGCTACTGTCCTTTCAGGAAGGGTCCCCAGAAGACCCCGGTGCTCTCATGCACACACAGCCTTCCTTTCTGTGGGCATAAGTGATACACCTTAATTACACACCTTTTTATTTACAGCCTAAAAGTTGACAATTGAAATACACTGGACTGTCAGTGTAGTTCAGTAGGAGGGGTGCTTGCCTAGCATCTCAAAACAAGAGTTTAAACATTTTAGTGAGTGCTGTCCAGGACAAGGGGAAATAAGTACCCTTATACACCACCAGTGGGGATAAAGCTTTTCTAAAAGGCAACTGGCAAGATACTAAAATGAAAAAATGCATTTCTTAATTATGACCTAGCAACTCCATCTAGGAATCAGTTCTACAGAAACAGAAACACAAGTATGCAAACATATAAATGTCATTGAGGTTGTGCAAAACCAAACCCACCCCAAATGTCTGTCTGCAGCAATTGGCAAACACATTTATTCTTTCCATCTAAAAGGCTAAGCAATTATGTCTTCTCTTCAACAAAATTGGAGAAGAGGGATCAGGTCTGCCTGGAAGAGAGGAGGGGGAGGGGGAGAGGAAGGGGTCGGGGGACGGGGAGAAACGGCCCAAACAATGTATGCACATATGAATAAGTAAGAAAATAACAACAATTAAATTAACTAATACAAATAAATAAATAAATGGCTAAGCAAAACCAGGTTTGGTGGTGCACACCTGTCATCCCGTCTACTCAGAAGGCTGAGGTCAGAGGATCACTTGAACCAGCACAGGCAATATAGTGAGACCTTGTCTCAAAAATCAATAAATCAATAAACGACTGAGTAAATAAATAACTAAATGGCTAAGGCTGCATTCATTCCGTAGAGGGAATTCCTGGCCCTATCAGACCCAACACCCCCTTTTAATAATAAATATCATGTAACACCCCAATTCACTGTCCCAAATGCAACTCACAGGTAACATAACCTTCCAAAGCTCAGAGGATGGAGCACCATGTCAAAGATATGTGGTCTTACATGTAACATAGCGTTAAGCTCTGGACTCCTATAATTCTGAACCAATTCTCCAAAGACAGGACAACGTGTCAGGTAAATAGAACTTCCCTGCCCATTTCAGGGTTTCTACCATCCCGAGCCTCCACCCACTCAATGTTAGGAGAGCCTCCTCCCATCATTGTGATGGTCAAAAACGCCCTCCAAAACTTTGAAAGCCGGCTGAGAACCAGAGCGTTTGGGGTATTCAAAGCACACTGTGAAGAAAGCAAGCTGCTAAACGGCATTGGTCTGGCCAGTTGGGATGTGTTCCCTGAAACTTCATGGGTTAGAAACTTAAGCTCCAAATTCCTATGATGATGGTATTTGGAGGCCGGCCTTTGGGAGCAGACTGGGATAGATGAGGTCATGAAGGTGGGTCTCTCACAAGGGCATTGGTGGCTTTATGGGAAGAGGAAGAGACCCAAGCTGGTACACTTGCTCTGTCTCACCACATGATGTCCTTCACTGTGAAGCCAAGTCAGTGTCAGTGCCATGCTCTTGAGCCAAATGTACTTCTATTCTTTATAAACTACCCAGCCTCAGTTATTTTGTTACAGCAACAGAAACCAGACTAAGAACTACAACAATCCCACTTTGTTTTATTCAGCCCACTTTACTGCTTTTGTGATACCAGGGTAGAATCCTCTTGTCCCTCCCAAACAAACACTCTTACCTCCAGGGCGGGTAGCAACCCCTTTTATTTTCTTACTGAAAAATTTGAATCTTTGTCCTGTGGCCTCTCCAGAGTCAGTGTGACCAAAACTCCCTTCTAGACCAGAGGCCAAGTCATGGGGAAGAAAATGGATGGGTAGCTGGACATTGTAGGTATGGCAGGCCCACAGCAGATGAGGTGGGAGAGAACTCAAGGGACAACAATTCCAGACTTCCCACATCTACTGGCATCTATCAGCCATCCTAGCCAGACTGCAGGAGCCCAGCTTGTCAGGGACTTCAGCCAAAATAGGGCTGTACCATGCCCACCCACCTGGTCTGGGCATTCTGGACCCTGCTGAAAACCCAAGAGATCATAGGCCTCGTGTGTGTCTCTGTCTGTCTGTCTGTCTCTCTCTCTCTCTCTCTCTCTCTCTCTCTCTCTCTCTCTCTCTCACACACACACACACACACACACACACACACACACACACACACACATATACACACACGGCTCCTTTTGCTGGGGCTGTCTAATCTTTGCAAAGTACAGTAAATAAAGTTAGTATTTCTTTCTTCTCATTTGGAAGCTAATTTAGCTTGATGAAAACACTTGGAAAATACAGAAGACAGCTGGGCATAGGTGGTTCATGCCTGTAATCCTAGCTACTCAGGAGGCAGAGATCAGGAGGATCATGGTTCAAAGCCAGCCCCAGGCAAATTGTAAAAAAGGACTAAGTGGCTCAAGCCCTAAGAGTGCCTGCCTACCAAGCATGAGGCCCTGAGTTCAAACTCCAGTGCTGCCAAAAAAACAAAATACAGAAGACAAAGAAACGTCAAATCTGCTATAAGCCTTCCACTTGGAGTGGCTATACCTGTGCCTTGGGTGAGTTCTTTTTATTAGCATTCTAAAAAAAATTTCGAATCACACAGTAAGTATAATTTATATCCTTTTAGGAGAGTGGTCATGACATGTGACTTCATATTTTATTTAGTAGTCATGATTTTCCTCCGATTCCAAAAGGATGATCTGCTTGGCATAAAAGCTGCAAGCACTATAAAATTCTGAACTAAAAAGTGAAGTTCTCCTGACCCCTCTCCTTCTAAAAACCACCACTGACAGCTGGTGCAACTACTCTGCAAGTTTTTCCTCTGCCTCTGTGAGCACAGGCACACATTTAAGAGCCACAGGGACCTACCATACATTTTTTTCTGCATTTTTACTCTCTCCACTTAACTCAGAATCTGGGATAGCTTTCTTTCATGTGCACAGAATGCCTGGCTGACGTCATTTCCTTCCCAGGGCTATAGGACACATAATTGTATAAACATGCCTGGTACACTTGATGGTACCTGGATTTGCTCCAATATGTCCTAGTATACAATGCTGAGGTGAACGCCCTCGGATCTGCATCCTCACACATCTGTGCAAATCCACAGAGGACAGACATCTATCTTTTGTGAAAATGTAATTGCTGAATTACATTTAAAATCTAGAGGGGCTGAGCAGTAGCTCAGAGGCAGAGCACTTGCCCAGTCAGTACGTGTGAGGTCCTAGTTCCAATCTCTAGCATGAAAAAAAAAAATCTAGAAATTACCATACTCTCTTTCAAAAAGTTCCCATAAGTTACATTCCAAACAGCAATAAACAAGTCACTTCAATTTTTGTTTGTTTGTTTTTTAAGTCAGGGTCTTGCTATGTAGCTCAAGCTAGCCTCAACTGTGCAATTCTCCTGCTTTGGCCCCTGAGTGCTGGGATTACAAAGATGTTCACCACCACAGCCTGTTCACTTAAATTTTTTTATCAAATCATGTAATTGTAAATTTAGTTTGCAACCTGTTTTAACAGTAGCATAATAATCCCCTGTAGGAGTTTGTCATTACTGACTTAACTTACTCACATGTTCTTCTTACTATATTTTGAGCTTATACTGATTTTTCCCTGTTATAAATGACTCCACAACATCTTTACACCTTAGAAAATTTTCTGAATTTTGATTTCTGTACTATAAAAAAAAAAAAGGTGCCACAAAGCCAGATGTGGTGACACATGCCTGTACTCCCAGCTACTTGGGTGGGGGGAGCAGGAGAATCTTGAGTTCAAGCCAGCCCAGGCAAAGTTAGGGAGACCCTACCTAGAAAACAAAACAAAAACAAAAGTGCTAAGGGCATGGTTCAAGCAGTCCAGTGCTTGCCTAAGCCTGAGGCCCTGTTTATCCCCAGTATGGAAAAAAAAAAAAAAAGCACCACAGTCATCTGTCATATTTCAGCTGCTGGAGTAGCTGGGATAGTCTTAGACCACGCTTGTCAGTCTGGGAAGTTGGCAGGCTGCCCTTCTGAGCAGGTGACCTGATCTCTGCTGGAAATACACAAGCCTCACTATCCCAAATGGTGACTCTACCACTCCCTACACAACCAGTGACAGGGACTGGACCCATTCAATAATTATCACAGAAATCACCTCCTGGCTGCATACAGTGCCACCACCCAAAATAACAGTCAAAGACTGGAAGTGTGGCTCAAGCGGTAGAGCAGCTGCTTTGTGAGCACCAGTTTTGCAAGTGAGTAGCCTTGAGTTCAAATCCCAATCCCTCCAAAAAACAGTAACAATCAAGAAAGAAAGTACTTCACAGTTAAAGGGTATGGCATCTCAAAGGGTCAAAATTACCTTTTCTCCAGACCCAGGAAAGAATCACATCACACTGTACTGGTAACAGACGAGTTCAATACACTTGACTCTTTTTTAAGCATAATATAAAAAATCCTGTACCAGAATTCAGGTCCCTTTCCTCTGGTTCTACCACCATTGACCAGCTGTGTGGAGCCGCCATACAAATGAGGACGAAAAAGGTTGTGACTCTGCTGGCAATGTGTTTTGCAGCCCCTGCACCAGGGGTAGATATGCTCCAAGCAGACACTGTTTCCCTGAGGTAGCAATGCTCATTTGGGGGACCCTACACAAGCTGACTGTCACTGGTGCATATATTTTACCATCAGGTCAGGAAACATACACTGCTGTCAGCATGGGAAGTGGACATTCCCAGAGACTTCCTGGGGGAGTGGAAGAAGTTTGGCAGTGGCTATGAACCTTCTTCTGCACTAACTTGTGATCCAGCTATTCCCATCACCTACTCAGGTGTGCCCAGGCGAGTTGGCCAAGGATGGCACTAATTATTAATCAGAGTCAAGTGGGCAGCACCTTCCTGTCACTGCCGGATAGTTAC